TTCGGCAAACGATGGTTCGGCATACGTAACACATGTCCCAACCAACGCAGCTTCTGGTGCTGGACACATTCTTCAATGGAAGTACGCGTTACACAACCGAAAATACGCTTTCTAACTGCCTCGTTATGGATTCGCCGACACCAACCCACACGAGCTATGGTTCTGAGACAACGATTGTCGAACACCTGAATATGTCTCAGTTCCGCTGCTCGAATAGGCCAAGTCCCACAGCCATACAACAGAACAGCCCGTACTGTAGCTTGATACCCACGTTCCTTGAAATTCAGGGATAAGCCACTCTGACGCCATAAGTGTCCTGAATGCAAAGCTATGACAGCAATGTACACATACTCAACGTGTGATGCAGTGACTGACTGAATGAATGTCTGTGTTCTTCTGCTACTGATGCACTTGAGAGGGATACTGAAATAACCTGACTCGTGTTGTGAACTAACCGTGGCGGTAAGGATCATGGCAACCTTCACTCAGACTCATAATATCTGTTAGTCTGTATTCCTAGTCCAATTTTCAGTTCGGCGTCTCCGGACCAATCCTAGGCCCGTGTAATGAAAGTCATCCTCAGGGGAGAGACCTCATGTTGGTCAGCGGTAGGCGATTTTTCGACGGTTAGTCAAACTACGGTTCGTTGGATTGTAATGTCTGGCGGCTAACTATCGAGGGACACTTACTTCTGGGTTCTCCAACCATCGCGGTCGTTTATGTGTCTACTTTTGCACCACATGTTGGTACACTCCCTACCCGTTTCTCCCATGACAGGTAGATCAATGCCTTGTACGTACGTGTTCACAACTTTCTGGTATGTAGAAACGAATTCGGCACCGGTCACCTTGAGACAAAAGACTTGTGAACTCTGTGTATTCCAGCAAGTTGCTTGTTTGATTTGAACTCGTTTTTTTGGTTTTCAGAACAACAGAGCTTGAATACCTCAATACCTCTTTGTCAGAAATATAGAGGGAACAATGAAATCGCTAAGATGCAAGACAGTTTCATCCAAAATTAAATCCGTCATTCTATTTGGTAAAAAAAACAAAATGGTTAGCCGGCCAACTGATTACTGGCGCCTGCAGGAATACAATACAATACAACACAATAAATACAATACTGATTACTGGCGCCTGCAGGAATACAATACAATACAACACAATACAATACAATGGAATACAATACAACCCTCATGCCAGTGGTTTCTGCAGTGCCCAAAATTGTTGTTCCCCTAAACATCTCCAAGTTTCCCGATACTTTGAAAACACAAACGATTTCTCTATTCACTAGGTGTCCCGTGTCCAGTAAACGGCCACGTTCTCGATCTGATTGTGAGACAAAACCTGAGGCATAAGCTAAGGGCAGGGGGGCGACATATGATGAAAGCCACACTGTCGCTCAATTTCACCGGAAAAGAACCCATTTCCCGAATCCCGGTCAAATCATTCGTGTTTTAGCGGTGACTGTAAATTACTCTTTTAATCCAGTTGACTGCACTTGTGGTTTTTCAAAAAAGAGCCTGAAATTTTATGTCGGAAGATACATATTATCAAGTCTATTGTTAAAGTGTGCTGCAATCCCACCGAGACTGACCGCGAAACGGAGATTGACAGAACTGTTTGAGTGAAAACCCATGCGATTCGAACAGCAGCTTCTGGTCCGCCCTCTTGCCCAGGCTGCACGTGCGACCCACTGAAATGCACCGATCGTTCTGATTGGTGGGCTCGGTTTGATGAAGCCCGGCTGTTTATTTGCACTCGTTACTGAGTCACCATGCTGCCTAATACAACTCTGTTGGTCTGTCTGTGTCACGTTCATGGGACCAGCCGACCTGCATTGATTGGAAACTCCGGGCCCATCTGCATCTATGCCCTGGCTTGGTCGAGCAACAGGGGGACTGAGTTCCTGTCCATCGCACACCCACATGTCCGAGCATCGATAACTCCCTTCGCAGAGGTGCGAGATGTGAGCGCGTGCGTCAGCGCACAGGGCTGGGGGGGGGGGGTTACGGCAGAACTTAGAGGTCGAAACGTCAGTAAAGGGTCGTTGGTGTTGACTTTAGGGGAATACGTAGGCAAAGAAGGCCCGGTGGAGGAATATCACACCGACCGTTGGGGACAATGGGAACCCTTCGCACATTCTCCCAATGTGAAGTTTCTCAGGCAAGCCGGGTTGAGCACCTTGGCACAGTTGGTGCCGTGGGTTATAGTTCTGTCTCCGATTCGAGTTCAGATTCATGAAGCTCTGGATTGTCTTTTGGTCTGAGGAAATTCATTCTGATCAGGTGAATACCTTGTGTGTGTGTGTGTGTGTGTGTGTGTAACACACTGACCTGGAGGTCTGCTGTCTCCACAAGCCTTTGTTCTAACTTTGGGGTAATGATCGAACGCAAAGGCAGCAAACAACTGCCGCAAAAGTAGAAAACATCGAGAGACTTGGGACGCTGAAGAATCACGTTGCTTTCGGAATTTGCAAAGGATGGGCAGTCAAATAAGCCTGAGTTGCAGCGTAATACTGCTGAATTAGGATGGCAGCTCAACAAAAAATATGTGGACTAACGAAGTTTGGAGCGCTGTTTCCAGTTCCTCCTATATTATTTCCTGCAATCCTTTTAGAAAAAGATTAGAAAAAGGATGGCTGGTTGGGGCACTGAGGTAGTGGGGACTCAGCCAGCTTTGTTTCACTTTAATAAAGCACCACTGTCTGTTCGCCGACTCAACCAGAGAATCAATGGGCAGGCCTGTTGAGAAGCTATCGCGATCCTCCGACCCTGACGGTTTTTTTCTCTGGCGTGCGCTCGGTCTCCCAGAACAGGCTATCGAAGGTGGGACAGCTGAAGACAACAGGACTATTCAATGTAATTGCATAACGCCAGGAACACTGGAGGCGTTTAGGGTTAACTTGAAGATACCCTCATCGGCTCATTCCTTCGGTTATGGTATTCTTCCATTGAATGCGCTGCGCAACGGTCACCTCATGTTTCAGCCGGTACGATTTCATTGTATGCATTTTGAGTTCCGGGGGCGAGATGGACCAAGTGGTTAGGGCGCAAGCCACCTCCGCTTGGGCGACCTGGCAGTATCCCAGCCCTCATGCCTCCTTCGTGTGGCATGGCAGCTAGGCACCGAAGGCGTGCTACAGCTGAACGATTATTATTTTGGGTTCCAGTAGAACATAACACTGATGGAAACACAGCAACTGCATCTACCAGTTGAGTCCCAAGAAGAGTGAAGCAGGCCGTAGCTTGTCGAGGAGTCTTCAGCAACCTTATAAGGAGTTTCATTCATGACCACCATACCTCTAAAATCTTACTGAAAAATGCGGCGGCCTTCGTGTGGCACAGTCAGTTGAAGGATATCATAAACGAGAGTCCCTTATGGAAACTAAACTGGTACGTGAATGACTGTATTTGTCTAACTGCATGCAATCTGGGTTGAAGCGACACATGAGGTTGATGGAAACTCAAGGGATACGCCCCATTGATGAGCCCCAAGAACAGCGGAAACGGTCATGGGCTTCAAAAATCTCACGAAGAGTTTAGTGAATAATCGTCGTGGAAGAATCTTGCTCTAAAAACAAAGCGGAAGGATCTTCCTAAGCTTCGTATGGACTGCCAATTTCATGTTCTTTCTCTGGTTCCTTGGACATACTTATCTCATTTCCAGAAAAACGAATCGATCGCAGAAGCTCATATCTGTGCGACGGTGATACTACTGATGGGGAGGCATGCGAGTAGTATGTGTTGTTCTTGTAAATTCGCTTTGCGTCTCTTGAAAAGGGGAGATCTGTTGTGGAATTTGTGGAGTCGCTTTGTAGCACTTGCTTGAATTTGAGCAGTGAATATCCAGTAAAGTTCAAGAACACGCGTTCAGGAGAAGATGGGTGTCCAGTTTTTGAAACTAAGATGCGAATGAGAGTTTTTATACCCCGTCCAATAGTCTGTAACCGGTCAGTTGGCATTTTCTATTAAATAACTCCGCAGAGAAAGCCTTCTTCCAATCACGAGTTCAACGTGAAGCTTGCGTGCAGATGTAGAAATCTTGTGTTAGCTAAAGCCTGCATGTTGATTATCAAATTCCGGATTTCAGTAGAGAAAGGCAGCATCTCTAAGGTGCTTTTTGCACCAAATTAAGATGGCTTGGTTAACTGGTTAGAAAAGTGGAGGCCTGTGGGACTATGGTGGTTTCCCGGAGTGGACTTATTTGATGCCAGTTCGGAGTAATCTTGCATGATAGCACCGTTAAAATGAAAGGAAAGAGGCCACGGCACGATAATGTGAGACGTTGGAGAGGTCGATTGACGAAGAGGTAAACGATTACTATTTGAATTCTGTCAGAAATCAGTGGCACGCTGGGAAGGGGCCCTACTCTAGATAAAACAAGCAGCAATCGGCTGCCTAGATACGGACAACAAAAATGGGACGCACTCGAATCATCGATCTGTGGTTCGTAAACCACATCTTGTCTCATAGGCTGTCCCAACACACGCCCTGAAACTCAACCTACCTTACGACATATTAGTGTGGGAGCACCCGGTTTGTCAAAGGAATGTTCTATTCCGTGAATGGAAATGGAAGGTAGGCACCATCGCCTCCGAAGCAGGTCAACTTTATCTACAGACTGTAGCCCGGGAGCCGAAATTTGATCCTGATACACTTCGGGAACATAATCCAACTCTGCGAAACGTCTGAAAAGTAATCCGAAAGTGTGAGTTAGATTGCAGTAAGATTAGAGAAATTTAACACAATGTAATCACTACAGTAGATCGGAAATGCTTAATCTTTCTTGCAGCGTCCCAAAACCGTGACTGGTTCAAATCAAGGGCCTGCACAAGTACTATGGAACATTTTGGCGATGTTGGGCAGAGTCGAACACCAGATTCTCGCGCATAGGTTTGACCTCTGCTGGCTGCTGTGGCAGCTGAAACCTGGAGCAGGATATCGCACCACTCCACGAGCCACCGGACGGCGCGATTCTCCAACCGACCAGCTATCAACTACCAGCTATCAGCTACCCAGGACATCTGTTTCGAACGGAATTTCGGCCCACGTGATAACTGATATTTAATAGATAAAGTCCTGACTTTTAATATTGTAGAAACCATGGCTACAACCTAGGAAGGCACATTTACGGGCTTGACTTCTATCAGCCAGATTCCTGAAGGCAACCACTGAATTCCCGAAATCCACCAAGGCTCTCAACTCCGCTAGATGTTGACCAGACAGACAACGCCCCGTCAATATGCAGCTCGTCACAGCCCTGTATCAAACCCAGACAGCGCGAGTCAGCGTTGATCAAGGTCAGACAACGCCCTCGCAATATGCAGCACGTCGCAGCTTCGTACCGAAGCCAGACCGCGTGCGTCAGCATTGGACCGAGTTCAGACTGTCCCTCCAATAAATAGCTTGAGACCGTTGTACATTCGCACTCGCACTCACGCTCTCACACTTGCTTGTTCGGAATATAGCTATTGTGCTTCCTTCTGTGAGTCTTTTTTTTCGGCGCTGGAGCGGGTCAGCAGCAGGTACTTCAGAGTGGCGAATCAGCAGATATAGAAACTTCGCGGAAGGATTCTGAGCTGTGTCGCTGGCACTATTTTCGATTGCTAACATGCCTGGGCCCTAAACACAACTGGGGCGAGATGGCTCAGTGATTAGAGCGCGAATTTACTGACCAGAGGTCTGTGGTGTTCAACCGGGGGGTTGGGATATGAATACAAATATTGTACACCTAAAGGGTAATCATAAACTATTGTGGCGTTTGAAGCAAACAACACGGACCAGAGCCTATCTGTGTGGATGAATAGCCCAGCGGTGAGTTGATATGTCCCAATATATTTCTGAAAAAATGTTTTGAGGGAGTTATCCTTTCGACATTATTAGAAAACATGGTTACACATCTTTGCTGGACTATAAAGATGGTGCTCACTTTGTTTCCTCTGGGTTCATTTCTTGAATGTCATCATAGATCCCCGGGACAAGCGGCCTTCCACGCGTGTCATTTAGTGCACCCAGTAGGCTGATTAAGTCATCCAATGGTTCTACAACGGCACCACCGTGACAACCGGAGTGCAACACGCGGTCTGCCCCTTCCACTGTGATGTAGAAATAGATGACTCCACGAAGTCCGTAGGTCAGACATGGAGTGTCTTGTCCAAGCCAGTAATTGTCCGATATTGCAACGTAGTCGACATTCTGAAAGGAATTACAAAGTGCCGATCACTGAATGCGTCTAGGTTTCAAATGGAGCCACGAAAAACTTCATTTATCAATCACGAAAAGGTTGTGCACCAATAAAAAATACCTACGTCCTTGACTGACCCTATATTCGACACCCGGCAAAAATTTTAGATTATGCAAAGTTGCCAAAGTTTCCTTCAAGTCAGATGGACCACGTGATTTCGAACCAGTTAATTATACTGTATGATGTTACTGTCAACTGATCAGTCTGCAATTTCTCGCAAGGATGCACAGCGTTTGTCTTTTCAGCAAGTAACAGGCAATCCTACATAGCAGTCAGCAGAAAAGTCATCTCAAGGTCACAGCACTGCGTGGACAAACGCTGTGAACTGCGTCCAACCAGAAACTGACAATCACGTGTTGGAGTGTGGTAGCTGAGTAGCACTCAGTCCATTGCATTGTGCTCAGCACTCACGCGTTGATTGTATTGCTTCAAGCTGCTTCATAGAGGTTAATTGTTTCTAGCCCGATTAATTGGAAATTTGACCAGTGTGAGGGATTCACTTTTGCAAAAAATCACCTTTTAGAACCCACTGTCCTCAGCCCGTCTCTTTTATAATCTTGTGCATCTTTAGCATCATGCTCCAGATCATAGTGGTACAGTGTTTCCAGCCCGATTGATGGGAAATTTTACATTCACATTTGAAAAAATCACCTTGTAGAGCCTACTTTCCTCAGCCAGTCTCTTTTATAACCGTGTGCACCTTTAGTATCACGCGAGATGGCCCAATGGCTAGAAC